ATGGCTCAGAGACCAGTTCAGGAGTTTAGAAAAGCAAGTTCTCAGACTCTTGAAGAAAATGCAACATGATCTCTGAGGCATAATTTGAGCATAAAAGATTCAGAGGAGTGAGTGAGACAGAAGAAACCAAGGCCAAAGCTGGCAGAATGCATGGGCAAAAGAAAGCAGACGAGAAAAAAGTGAAAATGATACGGACACAAAGACTAATTCAGAAACCACAAAACAGGAAGCCTCATTGAAAAAAAAACAATCAGCGAGGACAGCCTCAGGAAACTACACAAAAGGAAGCCAGTATCACCAGAATTTGATTTCCTAACAAAGAGTTTTAGAAAAGAAGGGAAAAAACTAAGTATATGGTAAAAGAAAACTGTGTAAATACTCAGGCCAGACTTGACTGTCATTCACAAGGCATTATCGCATTTAGGTACGCATTAAAAAGAATGACCAAAACTGGATTCCTATCTTATATAACAAACACAAAAAACAACTTCGGGTAGATTTAAGACTTGAATGTTAAGACCTAAAGACCATAAAACTCCTAGAAGAAAAGGTAGGGTGTAAACTCCTTGACATTGGTCTTAGCAGTGGCTTTTTGGATTTGACACCAAAAGCAAAAACAATAAAAGAAAAATAAACAAGTAGGACTACATCAAACTAAAAGCTTCTGCACAGCAAAGGATACCATTAAGAAAATGTAAAGGCGGGGCGTCTGGGTGGCTCTGTCGGTTAAGTGATTGATTTTGACTCAGGTCATGCATGATCTCAGGGTCCTGGTGGGGCTCCCTGATTGGCAGGGAGTCTGCTTCTCCCTCTGCTCCACCCCTGGTCTGAGCTTGCGTGTGCTCACTCGCTCTCGCTCTCAAAAAAATAAAATCTTTAAAAAAAAAGGAAATGCAAAGGCAACCTATGGAATGGTAAAAAACATTTGCACATCATATATCAGATAAGGGGTTAATATCCAAAATATATAATACATATAAATCAGTAGCAAAAAAACAAAGAACCAATTAAAAAATGGGCAGAGGAACTAAAAGATATTTTCTGAAGAAGATATACAAGTAGTTAGCAGGTACATAAAAAGGAAGTCAACATCACTCATCATCAGAGAAATGCAAATCAAAACCACAATGAGATACCACCTCACACCCATTAGAATGGCTGTTATCAAAAAGACCAGAGATAAGTGTTGGCAAAGATGTGGAGAAACCCTCGTGTACTCTAGGTAGGAATGTAAATTGGTGCAGCCACTATGGAAAACAGTATGGAGGTTCCTCAAAAAATTAAAAATAGAGCTACCATAGGATTCAGCAATCCCACTTCTGGGTTTATATGCAAAGGAAATGAAAACAGGATCTTGAAGAGATACCTGTACTGCCATGTTCATTGCAGCATTACTCACAGTAGCCTAGATATGGAAACAACCTAAGTATTTGTCAACAGATGAATGAATAAAGAAGATGTGTTACATATGTATATATCTGGAATGTATTATTCCACCATGAGAAAGAAGGTAGTCCTGCCATTTGCTACAACATAGATGAACTTGGAGAACATTATGCAAAGTGAAATAAGCCAGAGAAAGACAGATATTGCAGGGTATCACTTACATATGGAATCTTAAAAAAAATATATATATATATATATAGAGAGAGAGAGAGAGAGAGAGAAACTCATAGAAACAGAGTAGAGAGGTGCCTGGGTGGCTCAGTCGGTTAAGCGTCTGCCTTCAGCTCAGGTCATGATCTCCTGGAATTGAGTCCCACATCAGGCTCCCTACTCAGTGGGGAAGCCTGCTTCTCCCTCTCCCTCTCCCTGCTGCTCCCCCTTCTTGTGCTGTCTCTCACTCTTTCTGTCAAATAAATAAAATCTTTTTTTAAAAAAAGAAAGAGAGTAGAGAAGTGGTGGCCAGGGGCTGGGTGGGTGGGAGAAATAGGGAATATTGATAAAATGAGAAAAGAAAAACAAAAGAATGACTGATAATGAGTCGTAGTGACTTTCTTGATTTCCTTGGTGCATTTCACCTGGCGCTGAGGCAGAAAAGGTAAGGGACATAGGTGGGAAGGCACTCAGGTTCTGCCTCCATCAAGCTACACTTTCTGAAAGGATACTGAGGGATTCTGAGTGGAACAATGGATGTCCCAATAATTTCTTATTTAGCCAAATTGCCGTAAGTGTAAAGACAGAGACCATGGACAGATATTCTCAAACATGCCAGAAATCAGAGTGCTTAGCTGCTGTGAGCCCTTTTGAATAAGGGTTTTGAATAAAACTATTGAACTTTGAAATTCAGCCAAAATAGAAGTGAATAAAATTACTGAGCTTGGTATATGATGAGTGGTAAACCTGATATCTGTTTAAATATTAAAAAAAGAGAGATTGCCTATCCATGTGAATTATTGTGGCAGCACATAGTATAAATGATGTAAACCTTACAAATAGTAATATAACTTAGGAAAATCATTGGGTGGGAAAAGGGAGGGGCCATGTAAGTATGTTATGTCCTGTTTCTTCGCAGAAGCGTCAGTAGTCACTGAGTTGAAAATGTTTTAAAAAATGAGGGCTCTTCAGAGTTTTTCATGATATTTTTGTTACCCTTAGAGCAATCTTTTAGAAAGCCATCTCTTACAGGGAAGAAACATTTCTCTGAACTTTACAAACTTTGCTGTCACATTTTTCCTTCCTTCCTTCCTTCCATATTTATTTATTTATTTTGGTCGTTAATGAAAAATACTATCTACCAGATGCTCTATGTGCTGTAGGGGATTGGGTATACCTGGTGAGCTAGCATTCATGAACAGGTGATGAGTGTTGCTATGGAAATGAAGCCGGTGAAGTGATGGAGAATCAGAGGTGAGATGTGGCTAAGTCAGGCCTCTCTGCCGAGAGGCTTAGGTAAGGTCCAGATGCTGAGCGGGAGGCAGCCCAGTTAGGGAGCACACAGTGCTATCCTGAGCAGGAAGACACCTGTTCCAGAAACAGAACAAAGGCCTTGTGTTGGTGCCCTGTTTTGTTGGTACTCCAGCAGATGGTCAGAGTACTGCATAATCCTGTCCTTACCATACACTTCATGCCTTGGACTGTGTCTTAGGTTTTGCTTACCCAGCAAGCTTTTAAGACTGTCTGGAAGATGCTCAATGAATATGTAAAGCTAGATGGATGGATGAATGAATAAATGAATGAATGAATGGATTCTTTGAGAGTTTCAGATTAATGACATATCACAGTTTGTGGCATAGCTGTTTTTTATGTTAAAGTTTAATGTTTTTAAAGATTTTATTTATTTGAGAGAGAAAGAGAGCGAGCAAGCATGAGTGGTGGAGGGGCAGGGGGAGAAGCAGACTCCCTGCTGAGCAGGGAGCCCGACTCAGCCTCGATCCCAGGACCCTGGGATCACGACCCGAGCCAAAGGCAGATGCCCAACCGACTGAGCCACCAAGGCGCCCATATAGTTTAATATTTTTAGAGTAGGTTGCCTTTTGGAAACATTTTACAGCATGTGATTTAGGCTGCTAATGATGGCCCATGACCAGACAGTTCAATATTCTTTCATCCTCTGGTGAACCACATGAATTTGTCTTCTAAGACGTTTAGGTTCTAAGATATATGTGCAGTGAGAGAAATTAAATTCACGGCCAAGATCCTCATCTGTATTTATTTGAGAAGAAAGTAAGTTGAGATATTTTCTATTCAGCTTCAAGGGGACCTTCTGGAAGCAACATCTTTGGTAACTTCATGCTCACCTGTTCTTTGCCCTATGGATATTGAAATCACAAATATGATGACTCTTGAAGGCAGGGTAATAAGTCATTTTAGTTCCTTTAAAATAAATGTATCTTCTCTGCTTGGTGGGAATTTGCATTTTGACAAACAAATATACAGATTCATTATTTTGCTTAAGTTGGCCATGATTTACTGGTTATATATGTGGAACGCTCTGAGTCTAAACCCCATGAGGGAGGGGAGCAAAAATAGTCTCCACCCTAGACCCCCAGTTTAGTAAGATTAGTGGGAGGTCCCTGACACAGAGGTGGTGGAGAGAGGTCCCAGGAATGGTGTTCTATGTGTGTTATTTTTTGTCTTTGAAACATAGGCTGGAACGTCCTTTGAACCAGTATTTTTCAACAATCTATATCCGTTGACCAAGATTTTTGTCCCAGTTCCCTCTCTTTAGTTTATATATGAAACAAGGTATTTCAGAGTTTCCATTCAGAAAATCTATAAAGTTGAGTTTTGTCTTGACTAGCTATGGTTTATGGAGATTTCAGTGGCTTCCATTAGGGCACGAGTCTTGCCACTACCTTGACATCCCATCTGCAACTATGCATTTCCTGGACACTTGTGTGACTGTATTGTCCCCAGGATCTGCCCCCTTGGTCCCAATGGCCTGCTCTTCCTTTCTGAGCGATTGGACTGGCCTGGCCAGCAGGGCATGAGCACTGCCCCTAAAAAGGCCACTGGCCTCCTGGATTTAGGATGAAGTCTCTTCTAACTCTGTGGTTCCTGATCTTTATTATGTAATAGTGTTCAGACAACTGACACAGTGTGCTGTTTATTTTTTATTTACTTATTTTTTATTTTATTATGTTATGTTAGTCACCATACATTACATCATTAGTTTTTGATGTGGTGATCCATGATCCATTGTTTTCGTGGAACACCCAGTGCTCCATGCAATACATGCCCTCCTTAATACCCATCACCAGGCTAACCCTTCTCCCCACCTCCCCCCTCCCCTCTAAAACCCTGTTTGTTTCTCAGAGTCCATAGTCTCTCATGGTTCATCTCCCCCTCTGATTTCCCTCCCTTCATTTTTCCCTTCCTTCTCCTAATGTCCTCCATGTTGTTCCTTATGTTCCACAAATAAGTGAAACCATATGATAACTGACTTTCTCTGCTTGACTTATTTCACTTAGCATAATCTCCTCCAGTCCCATCCATGTGGATGTAAAAGTTGCATATTCATCCTTTCTGATGGCTGAGTAATATTCCATTGTATATATGGACCATATCTTTTTTATCCATTCATCTGTTGAAGGGCACAAGAAAAAATGTTCATCATCATTAGCCATCAGGGAAATTCAAATCAAAACCACATTGAGATACCACATTACACCAGTTAGAATGGCAAAAATGGACAAGGCAAGAAACAACAAATGTTGGAGAGGTTGTGGAGAAAGGGGAACCCTCTTACACTGTTGGTGGGAATGCAAGTTGGTACAGCCACTTTGGAAAACAGTGTGGAGGTTCCTCAAAAAATTAAAAATAGAGCTACCCTATGACCCAGCAATTGCACTCCCGGGTATTTACCCCAAAGACACAGATGTAGTGAAAAGAAGGGCCATATGCACAGTGTGCTGTTTAAACAAACTTTTCCGTGAGTCTTTTGCAAGTGAAGAGAAGCTTGTCTGCTTGTTTATGATGCTCATTCAGTGCCCACAGAGAGTCTGGGAAGCCAGGCTGGGGCATGAGCCAGCATTTGAATCCCAGCCTCTATATGGCACCTGCCTTGTGACCTGACCCTCTCAGAGCCTCTTATTTCTCACCTCTAAACGGGGTACACTAGTCAGATTTCTTGTTTTCTTTGTTGTTGTTGTTGCTTCTTTATCCTTTAGCCAGAAAATACCCGGAACTGGACAGCACTGGAAAGCAGGTCCCTGGAGTCCTGAGGAATCCCAGTCAGATTCAGCTGGGTCTCAGGGCAGGCTGGCTCAAGAAGTCAGTGCTGTGGGGAACCCAAACCTGTGTCTCCCTGACACAGCTCCTTTTCCTGCTCTGTAACTGTCATTCTGTCTCCATGCTGCCTGGCTTCCTCCCAAGTCTCCACATCCACACAGGGGGCACATGGCCCCCAGCAGCTCCCTCATTCACTTCAAGGAGGTACCGCCTATGACTCCAACACCAGGAGCAACTAGTAAAAAAAAATACATTGGACCACATGAAAATTGAAGACCTTTGTGCCACAAACAAGACCTTCAAGGAGGCAGAATGGGAGAAAATATTTGCAAAATCAAATCTGATGCAGGACTCCTATCTAGAATATATAAAGAATGTTTACAACTCAATAATAAAAAGACAAATAGGGGCACCTGGGTGGTTCAGTTGGTTGAGCGTCTGACTCTTGGTTTCAGCTCAGGTCATGATTTCAGGGTTGTGAGATCAAGCCCCACATCAGGCTCCACATTGAGCATGGAGCCTGCTTAAGATTCTCTCCCTCTCTCTTTGTCCCTCCTGCTTATGTGCACTTTCTCTCACTCTCTCTTAAAAAAAAAAAAAAAAAAGACAAGAGCCCAATAAAAGAATAGATAGAAAATTCAAATACGCATTTCTCCAGAGATGTACAGATGAGCAACAAGCACATGAAAAGATGCTCAACATACCAGTCATCAGGGAAGTGCAAATCAAAACCACAATGAGATACCGATTCATGCCCACCAGGATGTCCAGAACCAAAAAAACAACCAAACAAACAAACAAACAAAAAACCACAAGAGAAACAGGTGTTGATGAGGAGGTGGAGAAAGTGGAACCATTGTACATTGCTGGTGGGAATGTATAATGGCACAGCCTCTTTGAAAACAGTTTGGCAGTTCCTCAAAAAGTTAAATGTAGAACTTCCATATGACCCAGCAATTCCAATCCTAGGTATATACTGAAGAGAAATAAAAACCTATGTCCCCACAAAAAATTGTACATGATTGTTCATTAGCATTTTTTATAATAGCCAAAAAGTAGAACTGACCCAAATACACATTGATGAATGGATAAGTAAAATATAGTATGTGGTATACTGTGGCGTATGGCAGAGTAGTATGCAGGAGTAAAAAAATTGAAGTACTCATATGTGCTACAACACGAATGAGCCTTGAAAACGTTATGCTCAGTGAGAGAAGCCAGTCACAAAAGACCACATATAAGTAAATTTATAGAGACAGAAAGTAGATTGCCATTAGTGTCTGCCTCAGGGAGTGATATTAAGAGGAAAATAAGTAACTACCTGTGAGTCATCTAACATGAAGCCTGGCACACCATATGTGCTGATGGTCGTGGCCACATCAATGTCATGCTGCTCCTGGAAGAATGGCAAGATATAGTGCATATGTCAAAGCTCAAAAAATAGTTGAGTAACAAACTTAACCTCAAGGAACCTGCAGATAAAGCCAAGAATGAAAAGGATCTTTAATTGATAGACTGGATTGCCTGCTTGCCTGTAATTTGCTGTCAGGTTACAGGTTTCTGTATTGTCATTCACTTTCCATTGTTGCTGCCTACGATATTATATATTCAGGGGTTGCCAACAGAAGCCAATAACCAGACTGAGGGTAGAGTGAGTTGGGAGTGAGCTTTCTATAATGAACCTTTGTATCTGACATACGGAGCAAGAGCTTTATTCAACTTTTTAGGTTTCATTGTCTGCCTTGCGAATGGTACCTACTTCATGGCACTGAGGTAAGGAGGGAAGGAGAACAGATATTTAAAACGTGGATATCTGACAGACAATCACAAAGCCATAAATGCTGTGATTGTAATCTTAATAATCACAGTGTAATTTGTGATTATATATACTTATACATAATGTATAAGTAATGTAGGTTTACATGAAAATTAAATTTTTGAATTATGGGGGCACCTGGGTGGCTCACTCAGTTGCATGTCTGACTCTTGATTTTGGCTCAGGTCATGATCTCGGGGTCATGAGATCAAGCCCCGAACTGTGGCTTCCCACTCAGCAGGGAGTCTGCTTCTGTCTCTCTCTCTCCCTCTCCGTCTGCCCCTCTCTCCACTAGAGTGCTCAAAAGCATGCTCTCTCTCTAAAATAAATAAATAAAATCTTTAAAAATTTTTTTGAATTATGCACATAAAAGACTTTACAAATAAACAAAAGAAAATAAATTGGAATCCCCAAATTCCAGTCTCCCAAACAACTACTATTGGTGTCTATCTGGAATGATTTTATTTATTTATTGCTATAGAAAGGTATAGATCAGGCTAGTCATATTTTCCTTTTCCCTGAACATTTGCTCAATATCCTTGTGAGCTAATAGATGTTGATTTGTATCATCATTTTGAGGTTTTTTTTTTTTTTTACTTTTTGCTTTCAGATAATTTTAGACTTACAGAAGTTTGTAAAAATAGTACTTATTCAACTTATTGGCAGCTTCCTTCAGCCTATCAGGCTTCTACAGAAGTGTCTTACCCTTAGTTTTTAGGTTTTATTTTTTTCCCTTAAGCCATTATTCCAACTAAAAAGTATTGCTAGAATTTTGAATCTATGATTTATAACAATAGAGTGAGGGCTCTACCCTTCGTTAGATCCTTGCCTCTAAAATTTAGTTTTGTAGCTGAAATCCCACCCTTGGTTTAATCTCTTATTGTTTAAAAATTAGAAGCTGTTTCATCTTCCAACTTGGTGGATCCCTACATTTATGGATTCTGTCTACTTTCATTACTGTTTGCAAATCAGCCAGTTCTTTTCTGAGCTCACCTCTTTCTTTTATCACCGAACCTAGCTAACAGTGACTGCCCCCCACACGAATGACATTCTGCCTTGTACCCCTTATTAATTGCAGGATCTGCCCTCCAGATGCTCACTGGAAATCATTTTAATGATTCATTCATCATTTTCCCAACCTCAGATAAAAGTGTCCTTACCACTCTCTGCCCAACCCCTGAGGCTAGATCTACTTAAATTAATACATCTTATAAAAGCAGCCCACAAGTAGATACCCATTTCTGTATCAATCATCATAAACTCTTTTATGCTTTAATAATCCACAACTTCAAAATCTCAGTGGCTTACAAAAGTTTCTTATTCCCATTCTGTGTCTGTCCTCGGTCAGCAGGGGCCTTTGGGAGGCAGAATGATGGAGCAGCCCCTTCACAAAACATTGCAGGTGGCCGAGGGAGAGAGTACAACCAGGAAATAGCACAGCATCTCTGCCTGCTCTTCATCAGCTGGAGCAAGGCCATTGGCCTCATGCCCAGGGGTGGGGAAGCCAAGGTCACCAACCAGTCACCTGGAAGGAGGGAAGCCAGACATGCTTGGTTAACAGCACCAGGGACAACCTCAACATCCTCTTGTTTAAAATGTTAGCTTTCGGGGCACCTGGGTGGCTCTAAGTCAAGTGTCTGCCTTTAGGCTTAGGTCATAATCCTGGGGTCCTGGGATCCAGCCCCTTGAGGGGCTTCCTGCTCAGCGGGAGTTTGCTTCTCCCTCTACCCCTCCCCCCACTCATGCTCTCTCTCTCTCTCTCTCTCTCAAATAAAATCTTTAAAAATAAATACATAAAATGTTAGCTTTCATTTTTCTCCTTATACACAGAAATGCAGCAAATATCTTCTTTTCTCCATACTTCTGTTTGCTCCTGTCCTTTCATTTTCTAAGAATAAATACACAGCGTAGAATTACTGTGTTAAAATGTTTGGTGTCAAGGCTGCTGCTTCCCCACATGGTGTCCACATACAGATGAGCAGGCAGGTGCTGACTTGCCAGGTGGGTGACAGCTTGGTGTGAATAAGGCGTTACCCTTTGTGACCCAGGCGGGGGGTGTGGCTTGGCAGGCAGGTGGTGGCTCCACTTGGCCCTCAACCAGAGGGTAGGGCAGTGCACTATCTTGTTAGCTGTGGGCAGGACTTACCAAAATCCCAGAAAGTGCAGGTTGCCATCCAGAACCAGCTCATGCTTTCAGAAACTACTCATGTGTCCTGACTCGTGGGGCCCACAGAAGAACAAAAACCTTGGGCTGTTCATAGATCAGCAAAGGAAAGGCATTCATTGTATAGAATTCATTTTAGTCTGTAAATTATACTAAGTTTCTGGATGGAGCATGACACAACAGGAAAATGTGACTAAAATGCACCTTATCTCCTGGTGTTCGATTTCTCATTTGCGAAATGGGAACTGCCTTCCTTAGAATTCAGTTCTTTTATTAATCCTGACAACAGAAAAGTTTTCCAGACTTCTAACAAAATCTCACTGGTAAGGGGAAATGAGTTAGAATGGTCTGAATACAAAGAGGAGGGAATGTAATGACTTAAATTGGATAACAGCCTGAGTGACCTTGAGATAAGTAGGGCTTGGAAAAACCACCACCCTGGGGACCCAGGGAGACCCTGCTCGCAGACAGAAGCGAGGATGTTCCCAGCCTCAGTCCAGAAACATGCCCAAGAGCTGCATCACTTTCTTATTTTATTCTGTTTTGAGTTCTGAGAATATAATTCTGCAGTGCTGTTGTCATTGTGAGCTGAGCTAGTTGTGGGCAGTGTTTGGGGGATTTTTGTTTATTAGTCTGTCTTTTTAAATGTGTTGTCACATGACAGATGCCTTCTTGCTGTTCAGGGTCAGGTCCCCTCTGAAGCGTCCCTCCTGAGAGTGGATGGGTCGGTGGACCCTGTTGGCCATGGCCCACCATGACTCCCTGAGGTGGGGGCCTCATTTCCACCCAGGTGGACCCTCCCCTGACCCCTCTCAGCACCTGCCTTAGTAGATGTTTGTTGTTTTGATCTTTCACATTTCACTTCTATGCTTCCTTGTTTATATATATATATAAAAAAAGGCACTTAAGTCAGTTATAGATCTAACATATAAATTAAGTTCTGGTGGATATCTGCTTGCCAGAGGATTTACTCTGGGCTTCCTTCAAGTAATAAGCATCTCAGTGTACATTTAACACATGATTCTAATTTTTAAAATAATTTTCTTTACTACAATAGGATCAGTTAAATAAAACTAACAGACAAAAACACACAAAAAATGGAGTTGTGGTTGAGATGGCTTTTTTTTTTTTTCCCCTTCTCTTTTCTGGCCTTACAAGGAAGGAATAAAATATCTTCTTTGTGTAGTCCAAAAAGGGCATGTCTGATTCTGGACCCACTACCCAAGGCTTAACGTTACCTCTGATTAATTCAATAGTAGACTTTCCAGAGGCATGTCACTCGTGATCTTCTGATCTGGGTAGGACAGTAGCTGAGTGCACAAAGCAGTGTCCTTGTCTCAGCAAGGAGCCGCTTCTCCCCGGGAGGCCTGTGGGGGCCCACGCGGGGCATGCATCAGCCCTGGTCAGTCACTGTTGCCGGGGGTGGGAGGGAAGAGCAGGGCTTACAGCATCAACTGCCACCTGCCCTGTGGGCTAGAAATGGGGGAGCTACAGTTCTCCCTGAAGAAGCCCTGGTCCTGTGCGCAGGGAGAGGGAGCCTGCCTGATCCCTGGGGAAGCTTCCTATTCACTGTTCTTGCAGATCGTGCATCATGTTACCGCTGATGAACAGCTGCCTATAGGAGTCGGGGGAGGGAATGCCGTGCCTTTGCCCGGTGGGAGAGGACCTCAGCCTGTCTCCCTATTTCTTCATATCCTGGTGTTTTGTTTCCTGACTGAACCCAACTAGGTTCCTTCCAGTATAGACCAGGTTCTGAGGATCTTCTCAAAATGAACTCCCATAGACTGTGCCATCCCCTCGTGGGCCGTGGGGGAAGGCCAGTGGAAGAGGGGCCAGAAGCGCTAGATACTCAGTGTCCTTGGGTACACATTAGCCAAGTGACCTCCAGCTTAGCCAAGGAACCTCCAGTTCCTTGCTGGATAGATGGGTTTGTACATCTGTGAGAGAGGATGATTGTACATGACCCTAACACCCTCGAGGGATGGCTGTGATGATTAGACAGAGGATAGATGTGAGGGGTCACCCACATTTGGGGCCGAGGAGCTGAAGGGGCTCCTGGCTCCTGTAGCAGAGTGCTTGCGCAGAGAGCCTTCTGATCCACACCTCTCTGCTCAGGCATGTTGCTTCCCCCAGCTAAAATCTGATGCCTGGAAAGATGCTTGGCCAGTATGCGCACGGATTCATACCTGTGCAATGATGAACCGCTCAGTGAGCTTGGCTAGAACTTCAGCATACCTTTAAAATACCATTTTCTTGAAAGTTCGGGTCCTTCTTTACATTTTCATGTTGCTGGACTTTGCATGTATCAGGTGATGATGGTTGCAGCAGGCTTGTCACCCATGGTTGTTGTTGGCTGTCTTTCCGGCTCTTTGTCTGTCAAGTAATGAGCATTTCAACGTACCGGGCAGGGCTGCCCAGGGGGCTGATGCTGCCTCATGAGTTGTCAGCAGGAATGACATGTGTCACTTCTGGGTTGGGATACTTAATTGCTGGAGTGTAATCCTACAGAGCTCTCCTGCTTTCTGCATGGCAATGGGTAATGTCTGGGGTTGTCTGCCCCACCAGCCTGCAGCTCAGAGTCAGGGGTTCTGGGGCTCAGCCCCAGCTGGCCTGCAGTGACTGTGAAATGAACCATGGTGGGTATGTGCCACTGGGGTATTAGCTGGGATTGATACTCTCACGGCTTTTTTTTTTTTTTTTCTTTACAAGCTGTTATCAGACTGATCCTGTGTCTTAAAATCAAGACAGTATGATCATTCCTCTGGTTGTTTTTCAGATTTGCCAGTAAGGAATCTTTCCAGGCATTCTCAACTAAACAGGAATGCAGCCTCTTGACTCCAGAGGCAGGAATTGGACATGGATATTCCAGGAGGTCCATATTCACAGAAGTGTTTTGGAAAAACTAAAAAGCTCTGTAAAATGGTGAAACTGGAGATTTCCCCAATTTTGTTTCATGATGCTAAAATATGTTCCATTGAAAAATAAGTAAGATTCCTTGATCTAATAAGTTTGGGAAATGTTAGATGCTCTCATTTGTTTTTAAAGATATACACTGCCCGTTAGCATACTAAAGGCTCTGAGAAGGCCTGCAGTAAATAGTTTACTCAAATGGAATCCAAATTTCCTCAAACTTTCCTTAGCCCCAGTCCCACACACGTCCTTCAGGCCTGTGTTTATGGGAATATTAGTACATGAAATGTGGAATTTACTGATTCTTGGCACAATAGAATAATGCTTCTTCAAAAGCTATATGATGCGTCATGTGGGAAATCATTGTCATATGGTGCACATTATTAAGAATTACTTCCTTTTATAATCTTTTTTAAGCAACGATTTATTGAGCTCCAACTCTATACAAGGCTAGCTATGATGGTTGATGAGTAGATCGATCTGTGTCTGGTCCATGGACCCAAGCATCAGCATGGGAGGGCACTTGGAGACCTGCACATCCCTGGCCTGCACCATCACCTGCACAATGGGACCCTCTTGGCATGGGACCTGGGAATCTGTATGGAGAACACACTACATGTGATTCTCATGTCCCCCAGTATTTGAGAAGCGTTGCACCAAATTCATTTTTCCCACTTTCTCTTGGTTTGGGGTTACATTCTAAAAGTGGCCAGAAGGTTCCTGCCTTGAGGACCAAGGTGTAGGGTCTCAGGGTTGCCCTAGTGATGTAGCAAGGCCTCATATCCGTGTGTGTATAGAGGGGCTTTGTGGCCTATGGAAATGACAGCTAAAACTCTTATGTTTTAGAGGAGGCTACCACTTGCAGGTTAAGGCCCAGAGTGCTGAGGACCTGGAGAGGTGACTAAGGTGGTTGCTATGGGGCTCAGGGCCCCGTGTCTTGTGGACAGAGCTGAGCCTCATAGTCCATGACAAGGCTGTGGCTCAGACATGCAAAGCCTGCCACACAGTTGACGGATCCAGCCTTCACACTGGTGGTTGATCGCCCACATGGTGCCACAGTAAAGGGTGATGTGGTTGGAGACAGCCGGGCGTGGGAGCAGGGGAGGGGGCTTTATGGCAGCTGGTCAGGCTGTTCTTCCTCTTGGATGCCTTTCATTTCAGCCATCAGCGCGGAACAAGGGTTCTTGATGCCTTTGATGAGGCAGTTCTTCTGGAATTTGTTCAGGCACAAAAGAGAGAAATCTGGCTCTTTTAATCAGCCCATAAAATGGCTTAAGGGCTTGCATTTCCTTGGGGGCTGTTATTACTGTCACTAAAATCTCCCCCAAGGCTGTTTTTTCTCTCTTCCAGGAAGGGCAGCTGCAAATGAGGGAGAGTACAGATCTTCCTCGACTTAATGGTCGGGTTATGTTGCAATAAACACTTCATAATATGAAAATAGCCTAAGTTGAAATGCATTTAATACACCTAACCAAAGGAACATCATAGCTTAGTCTGGTTCACCTGAGATGTGCTCAGAACACGTACCTTGGCCCACAGTTGAGCAGAAGCATCTAACACAAAGCCTATTTTATAATAAAGTGTTGAATATCTCATGTAATTAATTGACTACTCTACTGCAAGTGAAGAACAGAGTGGTTGTACCGTGATAGACTGGTTGTAAGGGTGTTGGTTGTTGACCCTGATGATGGTGTGGCTGACCGGGAGTGTCAGCCGCTGCCCAGCATCACGAGAGAGGATCGTACTGCATTATCACTAGCCCAGGAAAAGATCAAAATTCAAAATTTGAAGTACACTACTTGCACCATCATAGAGTCAAAAAAATCATAAGTTGAACCATCATAAGTTGAAACTGTCTGTAATTTAAATTCTGCCCCTTTTACGTTCAGATTGCCTCACAATG